ATTTAGAAAGAGTAAATACATACTTTTGAGGATAAACCCCTAATTTTCATTTCCACAGTCTCCTCACTTACTGTAAGCTGGCTATGTGAGAAAAGGAAAAATTTATAATAATCCTCATAAGTGGAAGGACTATAGGGAACATAAGAAGTGAACTGTCTTAATAGGAAAGAAAAGAGAATCGTGATTTTTTTTGCATTTTTATGTTGAAATCATTGCTATATTTGTTGATATAGTTCTCAAACAATAATCAAAACAGGAATTGGCCAAGTAATGAAGGGAAAGGAGTCAGTTTCAGCAAACATTTACATAGGGATATGGTGTCATCTGCTTGGGTTGCCATGACAAAGTACCACAGACAAGGTGGCCTAAACAATGGAAATCTGCTCTCAAGGCTCTGGAAACTGGAAGGCCAAGAGTAGGTGACAGTGGGGTTGGCTTCCCCAGGCCTCTCTCCTTGGCTTTAAGTGTTTTCACATAGCTTTTCCTCTGGGCATACACATCCTGTGGTCTTGTATGCTGATCTCCTCTTCTTATATGCTCACCTGGTCAGTACACACCCTAACACTGTCACATTACTGCAAATCATCCTTTAAAGACTGACTTTAGTCCCATTTTAAGGCTGTAGGGTTAAAATGTTAACATATTCTTGGAGGGCACAATTTAATTCTATAATAAGTAGATTGTGAAACTGAACACAAAAACCAAACTGGAATTTATCAGGATTCTGATGTTTCCCAAGGAAGTCATTTAAAGATTCCTGGAAATTGGAAGTGGCACTGTGGCACAAGTGGTAGAGTGCTAGCCTTGAGCTGAAGAGCTAAGGGACAGCGCCCAGGCCCAGAGTTCAAGCCTCATGACTGACCAAAAAAAAAAAAAAAACCAATAAAAAGATTCCTGGAGGGGGGTGGGGGAAGGATGGGATGGGAAGGGGAAATAAAGGAGGAGGCTACAATGCTTGATAAGAAATGTACTCATTATCTTGCCCATGTAATTGTAACCCCTCTGTACAGTATTTTCACAATAAAAAAAAAAAGATTCCTGGAATCTTGTTGATGAATTTGTACTCTCTCATGAGTTTTTTTTGACTGTATTACCACAGAATTGTCGGAAGAAATGTTTAATGGAAAACCCTGCCTCCCTAATGTCTACTAATTTGAAAAGTTAAAAAATGTGTATTGTTTTGTTCACTGGTTATATGGATATGCTTACGGGGTATTTGTCTTTTCTTTTTGTGGGGGGGGGGGGCATTCCTGGGGCTTGAACTCAAGGCCTGGGCACTGTCCCTAAGCTTCTTTTGCTCAACGCAGTACTCCACCACTAGAGCCACAGTGCGGGCCTTTTCTTTTTATGTGGTACTGAGGAATGGAACCCAAGGCTTCATGCATGCTAGGCAAGCACTCTACCATTACGCTACATCCCCAGCCCCTGCATTTTCTTTCTTTTTTTTTTTTTTTGTCGGGCGTGGGGCTTGAACTCTGGGCCTGGGCGCTGTCCCTCAGCTCTTCAGCTCAAGGTGAGCACTCTACCACTTGAGCTACAGCGCCACTTCCGGTTTTCTGGTGGTTTATTGGAGATAGGAGTCTCACGGTCTCTCCTGCCCGGGCTGGCTTTGAACCGCGATCCTCAGATCTCAGCCTCCTGAGTAGCTAGATTACAGGCGTGAGCCACCAGTGCCCGGCTGCATTTTCTTTCATGAACAGTTCATCTTTACTTTTTAGTGTACGTTCTGTGTATTTATAGTAGCCTTTGCGTGTGTGTGTGTGTGTGTGTGTGTGTGCGCGCGCACACACACACACACCAGTACTGAGGTGAACTCAGGACCTGGGTGCTGCCCCTTAACTTTTTATTTATTTTTTTGTCGGTCATGGGGCTTGAACTCTGGGCCTGGGCGCTGTTCCTCAGCTCTTCAGCTCAAGACTAGTGCTCTACCACTTGATCTACAGCACCACTTCCGGTTTTCCGGTGGTTTATTGGAGATAGGAGTCTCACGGTCTCTCCTGCCCGGGCTGGCTTTGAACCGCGATCCTCAGATCTCAGCCTCCTGAGTAGCTAGGATTACAGGCGTGAGCCACCAGCGCCCGGCTGCACCTTAACTTTTTTACTCAAGGCTGGTGCTCTACCACTTGAACCATACCTCCATTTCTAGCTTTTAGATTAGCTGGAGAGAAGAATCTCACAGAGTTCCCTATTCAGGCTGGCTTGAACCACAATCCTCAGATCTCAATTTCCTGATTAGATAGGATTACAGGCATGAGCCCCCACCTACTAGCCAGTTTTTCGTAAGATAGTTAGATACCACATGGCAACTGGCTCTCTCAAAACATGAAACATGCAACTAATATCTTCAGACTTCAACTGACATAGGGAAACTAACACCTTGAAAAGGCAAGCTGTAGAAAAGGGAAGATTGCTGTATTCTTATAGATGGGACAAAGGAGAAGTCAAACATGAAATAAGTTTATGTACTGGCTTCACCTCAGATGTTAGTTTCTCTCCAATGTATTTCATTGGTTGCCATTTAATCATGTGACAGTATCAGAGTTTTTCTCTTGGATTCTGTTGGCTACCTAAACTGATAATGTTCCCAACTGCCATGATGGGGCTTCCACATGCAAATGTGGGAGAAAATTTCATCAAGCCCCATGACTGATCAAAAAAATTTTTTATTGATAAGAAATGTACTCATCATCTTGCCCATGTAATTGTAACTCCTCTGTACAGTATGTTCACAAAAAATAAAAATTAAAAAAAAATTTTTTTTTAGACTTCAGTCATTTTCCAGAATCAGATATGAGGAAATGCTGGAGTAGTGCTCACTCAGCTCACCCTGAAGTAAAATTCCTTTCTTCTACTTACTTAAGTTAGAGAATCAACCCATTGCAACGAGAAGTACAAGTCGTTATGTCAAAAATGAACTTTACAACTTTGGTAGGGGGGAGGGAAGAGGGTGTGGGGGGGTAGGGGGAGGATGGGATGGGAGGGGGAAACAAAGGAGGAGGCTACAATGCTTGATAAGAAATGTACTCATTATCTTGCCCATGTAATTGTAACCCCTCTGTACAATATTTTCACAATAAAAAAAATTAAAAAAAAAAGAATCAGTCCCAACATCTTAGTTGGTAGATGAGAAAAATAGACTAATAAAGTGACTTGAATTAGGCTCCATAGCTGGCCAGAAGCAGAGGCAGTACTGAGATTCAAGTTCTTCATCCTCTCTCCTGGCTCTGTGATGTCTAGTGTTATAGTAGTAGTTCAGAGGGCAGCGCTCCTTGCGGTGCCCCAGTGTTAACCTCAGAGCAAAGTGGTAGCTGTGGTGTAGATCTTAGGACCAGTAGTCCCTCTCCTAACATCCACGTGACTGATAAGGAACAAAAATGGATAATCTGCTCTTAAGATTTTATGTGTACAAAATTATACCTGTTCTTAATGAACATATGAAAGAATCGAATAATTTTTTTGTAGAATAAAGCTTTTTAAAGGTTTTGTAGGCCATTTCTCCTTTAAAGAACTTCTAAAGAAAGGAACATATGGAGGTCTGGGGAACATGAATCCATGCAGGTTCAGCACCTGCCTAGCAAGCACAATGTCCTGAGCTCAAACCCCAGTACCACCACCACCAAAAATGAAACAAAAAGGTAAGTAATGTTAGACCCTTAATTTTGAGGATAAAAGGTACATTCTAAACATCCCTTTTGATAATGGCTATAATCATAAAAGGATAACGAACTTGGGAGTCTAGTATATATGAAGATTAGAAAAACAAATGATACGTTTAACTTTTTATCATAGCAAGAATTAAAAAAATAACCTCCTTGACTGTTTATTTTCTGTTGGGGCTTGAACTCAGGGCTTGGGCACTGTCTCTGAGCTTTTTTGCTCAAGGCTAGCACTCTACCACTTTGAGCCACAGTGCCACTTCGTTTTTTCTGGTGGTTAATTAGAGACAAGAGTCTCATGAATTTTCCTGAGGTTGGCTTTGAAATGAAATCCTGAGACCTCAGCCTCCTGAGCTGTTAGGATTACAGATGTGAGTTATTGATGCTCAGCTTGTTATTTTATTGTTTTTGCCAAGCTGAGGACTGAACTCAGGGCCTTGTACGTCCTAGGCAAGTGCTCTTCCATTGAGCTCAGTCCCCAACCCTGAGACTCTATTATTTCTAATAAACACTTCCTTTTATGGACTGGAAAGAGCCCTTTGCAACATTTTCTTGAGTATGATGATGGAATAGAGGTTTGAAATTGATGTTAAAACATGTACTAAAAACTGGAGAAGGCATTGTGAACACTTGCAAATTTTGGGCACAGCTATACTAGAAGTTGCAGTGTCAATCATTAGCTAAACAAAGTCTAGCCCTGAAATACATATATTTTACCTTTTAAAAGTTCTTTTAAAATCACCACTTAAAACCTATACTACAAGTCTACAAGTATAGAAAAATATGTGCTAAGGAATGTGAGAATGAATAGAGAAAAAAAGAATGAATAGAGAAAAAAAGCCAATTTTTTTTACCCTCTGCCAATTGGTGTGGAATCATAAGTCTATAATAGTCATTTTGAGAATGTCCCACATTGATCACTTAAAGGAAAATAAATACAGAGCTATTACTGATTTTCTGGTAAGTTCCACTCCTTGAAGGACTACAACTTCTCATAAAGTATAATATGGACACTGGCCATATGATTTCTACATACTGAATCTGATACTCCAAAAACTAAAGCATAGGATTTATAAGTATTTTATTTTTTGAGAAAATTTGAGAAATGACCAAAAGTGCAGCACATCAAAAAACTGGGATTAGTTTTAACAATCTGAAAACTTTAAATTCTACATTTGTTTGTTTTGAAACGAACTTCCAAACAAGATAGAATAAAAACACTACAGATGTACATGATACTGCTGAAGCAGCTTAAACAACACATCTTCAGAGCAAGTTCCTTTGTTTGGTGTTCTTGAAGAGTCACAGGTCATTTTTTTCTTTTTCTTTTCTTTTTTTCTTCTTTTTTTTTTTTTTTTGCCCATCACCAACAGCCTCTGTAAAATCAGCAAGGGACCTACTGGGAAAGTCACTCTCAGGTTTTCAGCCTGCCAGCTCCCACCCACCTGTCCTCCTGGACTGAGTCACAGGTGTAATGATGGGCTGGGCTGGTGGGATTGCCACTCGGCTCAGCCTCACCGCCTGCTGGGTCTTGGGTCGCACTTGTCCCGGGAGCTCCGCTTCCTTGGCGGAGAGTGGCCTCGGCTGTGCTTGTAGGGGTGGCTTCTGTGCTTTTTCGGGTTGGCTTCTTTTTGGTCCTGGTGTTTTGCAGATTCCTTACTGCCCTCTTTTTGTTCTTGTTCTTGCTCTTTATGTGAGGGCAATGTGTTCTTGATTGTGTTAATCAGGAATCTTTTATTTGTACCAGCAAGAGGACACTTCATCCTGGGGAGAGAATGGAGGAAGACAAGGAAAACCACCATAAATGACAGTGCTGATTTCTTCCTCCCAGGCTCAGCCCCCTACTATGTAAGTGGGGAATTCCACAGCCAAGTTCCTGAGTTTGTTCAGCTTTCCTTGCATGCCACCTAGTGTAAACTTGGAGTAAAAGAAGTCAAAACAATGCCTTAGATGGACCCTATTGAACCTTGTTTGCAACCCAGTTAATCATCCTTCCTTACTGGGAACTCTGTTTCCTGCGGAAGTTTATGTGTTCAGGTATTGACCACAATGCAAATTAATGGTCTCAGTTACTACCTTCTGAAAAATAAATGCCTGATTCGATTGTAATATTCACAATTTTTATGGCTTGCTTTTTTTATTACCAAAGGATAAAAATATCTTTTTTTTTCTGAGCTGCACAAAAGTGTGAACTGGTATATTTTGAATATAGTAATTAAATGGTATATTCTAGAAATAAATTACTGTGAAAAATCATAAATATGCAAGAATCTCTCCCTCTCTCTCTCTCTGTTTTAAAGGGACCTCACATTTTCTCTTTCAGGACAATAGTTGGTGCTTTTTGTGTGTGGGAGGCACCTTATACTCACTTTTGGGATGAATTTCTATATAGTGGACAATTAAGTAACTTTATGGCTCAAGTTTACTGAGTGCAGCAAAGATTTTAATTTTGGAAAAGAAACTCCAAATGAAAACCACACATTTTCTCCTGCCCTTGAGCTGTTAAGACAAATGACATGCTATTTCAGGAGTATCCTGAGGCCCAAGTCATGTATTAAATATAAGCAAATAATATCCAACTTTCTATAAAATTTCAATTTACAAAGACAGTTCAACGCCTGATATTTTTCAACTTTATGATGTGAAAGCTTTGAACTTGCCAGCCTCCACTTCCCAGGTCCTAAGTGCTGGGATAACAGTTGTGAGCCACTGTGACCATCAATTCAAAATTCTTTAAAACCTTATTATAAAACAAGATTTGTGTTAGATAGCTTTTCCCAAGTGTCTTGGAGAATGTTTAAGGTAGACCAGGTTGAGCTATGCTTGACAGAGTAGATGATTGTTTTTAATTTATGATGGGTTTATTGGGATGAAATCCCACCAACTGTAAGTTGAGGAGCACCATCATGTTAAACCCAAATCAATAGCTCTCCCTATAATAAAGAAGCATAGCCTAGAACTGCATAAATGAAAGATGAGTAGTCCTTGGGATTGCAGATCTGGCTGAAGAAGTAGGACACCTGCCTAGCAAGCACAAGGTCAATCTTCGGTACCACTGAAAAAAAGGTTAAGAAAAAGGCAAAAGGAACATGGCTCAAGAAGTAAGGTACTTGCTACTAAGTATAGGAAGGTCCTGAGCTTTTTTGCTCGATACTAATGCTCTACCATTTAAGCCATAGTTCCATTTCCAGCTTTTTGGTGACTAATTGGAGATAAGAATCTCATGGACTTTTCTGTCTGGGCTGGGTTTCAATTGCAATCCCCAAGTATCAGATTCCTGAGTAGCTAGAATTATAGATGTACACCATAGATGCCTGGCTTGAATTAAAAAAAATGTTTTTAAGAGAAAGATAAGCAGTCTTTAGTGTGACCACATTTGATATGGTATGGAAGTCAAACCACCTTAGACAGTCAAAAATGGCATTGAATTTGGAAATAAAAGAGAAAAACACATCTTGCTGCAAATAAATAGATCCTGAGTCTCGAAGGACAGAGAAAGTACCTAAGAAAAAGCCAAGGTAACTCTCACTGCTGTGAATGGTTAATGCTTAGGCCAAAGAAAGTGGCAGGGGAATGAATTAGAACAGGAAGGAAAAACACTTAGATCCCTTATCCCTGTAGGGCTTCAGCGAGCTTCCTGGAAACCATCTCCAGCATGACCACCTTAGTAGTCCGGAGGGGAAGTTATTTTTGCCTCTTCTAGGAGGCTGTTTCTGAGCACTCAGGGTACTGGGAATCAGTAGCAGGATATTTTCACTGGAGTGGGCCATCTCAGTGCTGAGTTCCTCTCTGAATTAAACAAAGAAATGTGACTATGCCGAGTGGACAATAATTCAGGATCTCAAAGTGGGAGCTTTGGTAATTCTAGGTAAATTCCATTAGACTTTGTGACCTTTAGTGTTAGAACACCTGTGAAACCATACACTTCCTCAGGTGAATGGAACTCTGCTGAAAGAGTGCACTGTTCACACAGAGTAGGGAGCAGCAGAGACCCAGGATAGCTTTAACCCATGATTCTCAGATCTCAGGCTCCTGAGTAGCTAAGACTACAGGTATAAGCCACAGAACCTAGCTGTCCTCTAAGTTTGACTTGGTGTAACTGTAGGGAGCAAGTGCCTTATTTTAATGAAATACCGTATACAGTGTACCTACTTAAGAGTGGCTATATTTTCCCTTTCCAGGCTATCTCAATTCTGTAAGTACAAAGATCAGTGGGCTACCACTCACCACTATAATTCTTCCTTCCATTTTTCCTTCCCTCTCTCCCTCCCTTCTTCCCTCCCCTCCCCCCCACCTTTCTCCCTTTTCTTTTGGTCAGTTATGGGGCTTGAATTCAGGGCCTATGCACTGTCCCTGAGCTCCTCCCCCCTCCCCCCCCCCCCCCCCCCACGGTACACTGTGGGGCTTGAACTCTGGGCCTGGGCACTGTCCCTGAGCTCTTCAGGTCAAGGCTAGGGCTCTACCATTTAAGCCACAGTGACACTTCCATTTTTCTGTGGTTTACTGGCTATAAAAGTTTCACGGACTTTCCTGCCCGGGCTAGCTTTGAACTGCGATCCTCAGATCTCAGCCTCTTGAGTAGCTAGGATTACAGGAGTGGGCCACCGGTCCCTGGCTCTCTCTGAGCTTTTTTGCTCACGACTAGTGCTCTACCACTTCGAGCCACAGCTCCACGTCCAATAATTTTCATTTTCAATTGCTCTGTACTCTCCTTGAGGGTAAAGCTAAAGACTGAAGCAATAGGTGGTTGCTAGCACCCTACTCAGTTTGAGCCTCTGCTCGTGCTCATGGTCTGTAGGTTACCCCTAGGACAGTACTCTCTGCTCATTCACGTTAGGAAATTACTTCATTTTCTTCATTTGTTTTCGGGTTGCTGAGCTCCTTCTTACTGCCATTTCCTGTATTTGAGATGACATGAAAACCTGGCACAAAATCATCAACCATCCTGTAGCCTTCCCCTTAGGAGGTTTTAGGCAGAAATCTGGGGCCTGCAGGAAGATTACAGGCCATGGCTGTCAGATGTGTTTGCACTAAATCTGTCACTGTCTGTACCCCAGCAGGTGTGCCAGGGCAGGGGACTGAGGAGAAGGGGGGGAGGGGGGCCCAAGGAGGCAGGGAGGGGCAGCTGCTTTCCTGTCTGTAGCTCATCCTGGCCAGTAGACGTTCTCATTCTGACTATTTTTTATTGTTGCTTTATTTTTGGTTCTAAAAAGTCATACTAGCTCACACAGGAAGAGCCAGATTTAATGTGCTAACAGCATAAATGGATATCAAACCTTAAACATCATGAGACTGGTTAAAATTGCTTTAGAAAGAACCCATAACACACTGCCAGTTAAGATCCAGCATTCTATGTTAAACTTCTTTTCTGCCTTTAATTTAAAAATTATTATGTTGTTTTACAAAGGGGACACAATTCTATACATCAGGTTATGAGTACAATGCTTCTTGGTCAATGTCACCCCTTGCTTCATTCTCCCTCATTTTCTCCCCCTCCGATCCCTACCCTCAAGTTACACAGTTCATTTCTTTTCACCCTGTCCTGTGCCAGTATATTACCAATGTTACCTCAGTCTCTTGCCTCTCATCCATTTTAGAGTCCAGTCTCACAGCACCAGTCTGTCAGGGAATATTCACTGCCGTCTAAGCAGAGGAACAATTAGTGGTCAGGGAACCAACTACAAGTGGAAAGTGTGCTCTGTCCAGGAGAAGCTGAGCAAAGCCACACTCCAAGCCAATAAAGGATGGCTAGCCCAGGACAGTAACAGATATGGACAAGGGTAGAGAACTCATCAACACAATGACTTTGAGATATGTGAGGTATGCTAGGCACTGGGAAATTGTGACTCAGACATGTTTGAGCAAGACTCCATTCCCCGCTCCATATCATTCTCTTATTTTATGACCAAATCCATTCCTATAACTGCAAACATCCCACCTTCCATCCTGGGCATTCTTTGCACTGTTGTAGATGCAAGTCCAAAAGAATCCCTCAGAAGGCTGAGGCAGAGGCTCAGTGACCCTCCCAGTTCTCCATAAAGCTGAGTAATAGTTTTTATTTGATGCTATAGTGATTACAATTCATTTTGTTGTTTAATGCCACCACAACTACCAGAGTCAGTAATGGTGCTATAGTTCCAATGTGACAATCAAATGGGGCCACTGGAACAATGTGTTCATAGTGTTTTCTGTAAGTCTCATTACTAAACTGTTAACCCTTACTCTATGTAACAGTCCTGAGGCTTACAGTGGGTATTATTACTGTACGTCCTCAGTACTGTATGTTGTACTGTAATCCAAAATAGTTAACATATATATGTATGTGGGAATGTATATATACATATAAATTATATGTAAAATATTTCTTCACTGAAAAAACATCTGTTCATCTTTCATACATAGATATTATGCTAGGCCCTGCAGTAGAGACAAATACCAGGACCAGGCTATCAGAAAGCGCATCTCTTTAGAAAACTAAAGAGAAAAACACGGTTGGGGAAGGTAAAGGTTAAAAGCAAGTACTGAAGCCAGTTGCAGGGATAGACTATAAGGTTCTAGTCCTTGGCTGCTGGTTCCCTTAGCACAACAGGTCATTTACATGGGTTATGTGTTCTGAGTAACATTCAGGGCTCTCTAATGCACTGATATGAGAAGAATGTGGGAAGGATGCTTGGGCAGAAAGCATTGGCATTAGCCGGGCACTGTTGGCTCATGCCTGTAATCCTAGCTATTCAGGAGGCTGAGATCTGAGGATCATGGTTCAA